TGTACTGTTAACATGTCATCTAGAAATTTAATTTTTGAAAAATATATAATAAATTTTGAATCTATGTAAAGAATTACAAAATATCGTTCATATTTTAAAAAATATTATAAATATGCAAATTCTTTTTAAACTTTTTTTATGTATATTTGCGATAAAATAGTCTTTGTCTAAGTATTTAAAATATTATGTATCACCTTTTATGTATTAAAGTGTTATATATTATATATTAAGTATTAAAGTTCTGCTAATTTTTAGAAAATATTTAAAATGACTGTACATTTATTTGAAATAAGGCTATAAAATATACAAATTATTAATTAAAATAAATCATTTCCTTAATTTTTATTTTAAATAGTCTTTGATAACTCTTATTTTATAAAATATTAATATTTTTATAATCAAAGGTATTAATAAAGTTCAGTTAAAAGTAATGTTACAAAAATGGATTTCCAATGACTCTATATTGTAATGATTCTATATTGACTGTTATTAAATGTGAAGAAGAAAAAAAATTTTATGTAATTTTATATAATTTAGTGAAATATTCGATAAAGTTGGTATTAGCGTTATTTAGCAAAAACGGAAAGATTTGATATGATTTAAATTGTTTTATGTATGCGCGCGCGCGTGTGTGTATGTGTGTGTGTGTGTGTGTGTGTGTGTGTGTGTGTGTGTGTGAGTGTGTGAGAATACGTGCTCAGACTTACCTTCAGATACATTAGTTTCAGTTAGGCATGTATTGTAATTCCCATTGACGGATGCTAATTTCTTTGAGTCAACAGTAAAAGACTAAAATATATAAAATTTTATTTTTAATTTTTTCTTATTAAACTTTGATTAAGTTATTTCTATATGCAATACACATACGTATATATATTATTATCCCAGGAAATCGCACATGTAACTTAACTGTAGATATAATATTACACGGGTGTCAGAATGTTACATGTAATATTATTATTTGTAACGACAAATATCATGTATTGATACGGCTTTATATCATCGACTTTAAACATATTATTTTTATATCAGAAATAATATATTACTGTAATATAAACGTCTTTTTTTACATATTTTTTGTATGCATATACAATATATAACAATGATAAAAATTTATGCTATAGATAAAAAATGCATAAAAAGTGTAGCGTTATGTATGTAACATTCAATTTCAAATTGATTGTGATTAATCTATAGAATTGCGTTTAGAGAGATATTATTAGTGCTCTTTGTATCATTCCATTTATATTGTCTATTAGATGTAAAAGCACTGTGTAAAAAAACACAGTGTGATACAAAAATGCTAATAGCATCTCTTCCGACTGCTGGATAGATTTAACGTACTATAATATTTATGCATTTTATACGTATCAATCGAATAATTAAATTGATGAAAGATTATAGTTGTTGTGTTATGTATTTTGAATTAGATGTGTGTAGATTATATTTGTAAATATTATGATTATACATATAACATAACGAAGAAATATATTTTTATTCTTCCAGAGTATTCTCAAAATTATGTGACACATATCTCTATAATGAAATATATCATTGTATGTGCTTCCTAAGTTATATTATAATTACGTTTTGATTTGCTGATGTGTTAATTACATACATATTTGTAAAAATAATATAATACAGTTATAATTTATTTATAATTACGTTATAAGAGAACTCTTTTTATGTCTCTGGAAAAATTTTTAACCTTCTATTTATATTTATATTTAATGTTTGTGACAAAAAAATACTTACGACGAACACAAAAGTGCAAATATAAAATAATATTTTCTTCATTTTATTAATTTAGTTAGTCTACACTAAATGTGTTGTACTAAAGTGTTCTGAAGCCCACTAACATCGTATTTATATTGTCTGTAATCGTATTTACATTGATGGAATCAGAAAGCATTGCGCATGATGGAGCAAGGAGGAGACGAATTTTGACCAACCAAACGCTATCTACTGTTTATTGACCAATCAAACACTATCGGCATGTTACTGTCTACTGCGTATCCTTCGGAATGCTTCATTTTTCTTATTCCAACAAGCCTTGCCACGATTTACACTTCTCGGCCGATTTTTGATACGGCCTATTCGCCTTTCGCTACTCTTCTCACCTCATCATTCCGCGCGCAGACCAAATACTGCTCGACGTTTAGGAGCGTATTTTCAAATGCTCACCGTTTGAAAACTATTGATGATTAAGATTTTGCTATTAACATTTTCGATTTACTTTTTCATGAGGAATATATACGGTCCCTGCCCTAACTCTGGTACACCTATGTAATAATATTGTGTGCACTCAGTAAATAACAATGATACACAGGTGTTCAAAAAACAAAAATAAAGCTTTAAATCTGTACTTTGATACTTGAGATACTTCTAATTAAGTGGTATCAATAATTTTCCAATGGCCGATGATAGAGTAAGGACCTGCATTGAGTAGAACTTGCAAGTAGAATCTCCTAATTCCGGAGATGTACGGAGTAAAGCAGTTGACGCAACTTAGTGAGAAAGGACGTGAAATTTCAAAATGTCCCTTTTAAAACATGTCTCCTTTAAAACACATTTTTGCGGAATTCGATACGATAATTTTTTGCTAAGTTATGGCAATTTAAAGAAAAAACACTTTTTTATACAAAAAAGTGTTACTTTATTGTGATATAACTTTATTATATATGATTGAATTTGGAAGAAAATTATCTTTAAAAGATAAAAAACTTAGTAAAAAAATTTTTTAGATTTAAGAAAACTGTAAGTGTTAAGAATATATTGTTAAACAATTTTATTCTTCACAACTTTAAAGTATTGTTTAAAGCCATACAACTTTTGTTTAAAAATTTTTATCCATCTTTGATACTTCCAACGCTATTCAGCTCGGAAGAGAAATACCGTTTTTTTCAAATGTTTCATCCCTTAAACAGAAATTAGCGCCATATAAAAAAATACGTGTCTCTTAGATTTTTATGTTTAATAATATATTTAATAGATAGTTAAATCGGTGCCGGTTGTAAAACGTTCCTTGTATAAAGTAAAACACAATTTTGATATATGCAATTTTATTAAAAAAATAAGATTAGAGTACTATAGAATACATTTTGTTTAATATAAATATACATTTTTGTTTAATATAAATTATATCGCGTTGTATTATATGTTTTATATGTATTAGTAACTATATGGATAATATTTAATTTTACATTTAATTGTATTTATATAGTTTGTTTTATTTATGCTTTTTCTTCTGCTTCTTTTATTTCAAGTTCTTGATGTTTCTGTTCTTCATATCCAGTTTTTACAAAGCATGCTAACAAGAAGAAGCTTTTCTCACATTCTTGTGTAATATTTCTTACTATATAAATAAAAGTACGAAGTAAGTAGAAATAATATAATTAAAAGATACAATATATAATTATGTTTCCTATAGATAATGTATTTTTATAATAACTATAACATTTTAAAAGCATTATACTACAAATGCAAATACATAAAATATTCATACTAAATTTTTGTAATTCCTTATTTCTTGCTAACTTTAGGGTAATTTATACAGTACATCGAAAAAAGTAAGATCTATATTCTAGGAGAACTGTAAAATTTTTTTAAATTTATTACAAACTATAAAAAAATGTGTCACTTGAACAATGAATTATGAAAAAAAGTATGAAATATCTTTTTCTTAACGTAATTTTACAATATTGAACTGTTCAAAACAAAAACACGCCCATATGAACATTTTTGTTTATGGAACAACCTATAATAATATGTATAATTCAAGATATATCTTACCTTGTTTCATGCATTTACGCGCAACTCTGTAAACAATAACTTGTTGAGAACTATTAGTGTACTCCATATTTATTATTACATAAACTTGTGCTTCCTTAATGTTTGATCCTTCCATCTAACATTTTAAAAGAAATTTTATAAATTAGAGAAAAATATAGATATATTTATTTTAATTTTGCGCAATTTAAGTGCT